ACTCCCATTCCCACTTACTCCGCACTTACTCCACACGCCTGCCCCCCACGTCATCCTCCCCCTCCTCCCGCCCCATGCCCTCACCACCACACTCCCCCACCGATTTCCATCTCAGCCTGCGCGGAAACGAGGACGAGATGGCGTGCCAGCGGAAGAGCACAGAGCGGTCGCAGGAACGCGGCGGCGGCGGCAAGAGAGGCGGGGGCAGGGAGTCGAGGAAGACGCCTACAAGCAAGGATGCTTTGAGGAGGAGGAGGAGGAGGAGGAGGAGGAGGAGGCAACGACTCCGAGTTTCCTGGGCTAGTGCCCTCCATTCTGCACCCGCAAGTATGAGGAGGTCCAGGAGGACAGCATGATGCAGAAAAGATCGACGGGGAGAAGAAGCGCAAGAACCTGGGGGCAACGAGGGCGCGCAGGGCCAAACATGTTTTCGAGCTCGCAGCGGTGCGGCTCGAGCAGGGACGCTGCCAAGGATGCCAGCTCTGCCCGGCGTTCGGCGCCCACTCCGGCTCGCCCAGCAGCCTTGCACACGGCATCGACGCGCCACTTGATCTCTGGAGGGTTCTCGAGGGGCGGCATGGCAAAGAGTGTCGGGCAAAGAGTGTCGGCACAACCCCCCTCTCGCAAATCCCTCGCCTGCCCTGGAGGGACGGGGGGGGGGGGATTCCATGGGAGGCCCTGCCCTCGTCGCGTGCTGCCCGAAGCGTCCCTGGCCCAAGGTGTCCCCAGGACTTCCAAGGAAGCCACCGCGGCCTCCGGAGCACCCCCCACGAGGCCCTGAGAGCCCGGGAGCTCCAGAGTGGAGCGGAAAGCTGGGGGGGGCGCCTTAGGCCAGGGACAGTTTCGGCACCCCCCGACCTCGGCCTTGCAGACCCCACTGGAACCCTTCAGGATCGGGTGCGCCGAAGAGGAGGACCAGGAGAAGACGGGGCTCAGCGAACCAGCTTTTCTTATTCCCGCATAACAAACCTGCTGCCCCTGCGGTTGCCTCACCAAGCGCGCCGACGCCGAGGAAAGGTGAAGCAGGAATGAATAGCAGAGCGGTAAAAAGACGAAGGCGTGGTGATCAGAAACCCCTCGGGGATGGACAGACCCCCCTTTAGTAAAACGTGGTTTAGTGAAAACAACCTCGGGCCCAAACCTGGCGGGCGCAAGCCTGGAAAATGACGGCCGCGGCACCCTCTCGAAAACCCAAAACGGAAAATTCACGAATCGACGTGTCATAGAGGGGGTTCTGTCCACCCCCGAACCCCCTGGCCCAGAACAGTCATTCTACATTTTGATATATTTACACACACACACACGAAAAAAACGGCCGTCGGAAAGAGAAAGAAAGCAGGGCGAAGGAGACAGAGAGAGGGGAGCCACACCCGGACGAACGTCCGCAAAGGAAGCAGCCGCGTGCGCGCGCAGACCGCGCCCAGTGAGAAATTGCCAGAGGAGGTGCTCGCACAGAAAAGCCTCGCGAGCCTCACGGTTTTCAGAGCAAAAAGCCGCCCGCCAACAGAGAGACGGGGCCGAGACGAGTGGGTGAGCACGAAGTGCCGGTGCAGCCAGCGCAGCGTGGAAGAGAGCCCGGAGAGGGAGGAGAAAACGAGAGCAGAGGCGAGGAGGGGGGAGGACACGAACGGCGAGGCAAATGAAGTGAGCATTGCGGAGCCGGACTTGAAGAGAGAGCAGGGGACGGGGAGCTCTGGGAGCAAAGCCGCCAAACAGGCGCCCCCCAGGCGGTGGGCACCGCCACCGAGGCCCGGGGGCCCGCGCCAGTGACAGGCAGGAACGAGCGGCTGACAGGCACTGCAGGGCTGCGGTCGCGGGGGGGCGGAGGGCAGACAGACCCGCTCCCCGAGGCGCGCCGAGTCGCACCTGCTGGCGCCATCGGCGAGGGTGGCGCCCCTGATCAGCGCGCGAGAGCCTGCGCTCCTGCGCGCCTCGTCGCAGACTGGCGCCTTCGGCCCTCCAGGAGCCTGGCTCCGGGGGGGAGGGGGAATAGATCTCGAGCTCGCAAGTTCTTGAAACGATTCAGGATTAGATCAGCAGCAACAGCCGTAGAGTGGAACTCGTCTCAGCAGGCATAGTCTCTTGGGTGAAGATCGGACCACGCCCTAGGTTCACAATGACCCCACCAGCCAAGAAGAGAGGGAAGGAAGGAGGCGCTCCACGACATGGACTACACGAGGACAAGCGCAAAATAGTGCAGAAGGTCATCGCTGCTGCCACGGACCGCGGAGGAAAAAAGGAAGAGAAGAGAAGGGAAGGGCCCAGGATACTGGCCACGGCGGGCCTCAGAGGGTGGGGCCGGTGGACATCGTCACGGTGTCACTGCGAGTGGCCCTGCCACCACCCCAGAAGGCACCCAGTCTGATTGGCCTGTTTTCCACCACCACCACCATAAGTTGGAGGGGGAGGGGGTCCTCCTCCTCCTCTTCTTCGTCCTCCTTCTCCTCGTCCTCCTCCTCCTCCCCCCTCCAACTTATGGTGGTGGTGGTGGAAAACACGCCCATCACAGTCCGCGGAGCGCCCCGGAGATGCCATGTTCGCCGACCTCGACGGCTTCGTAACGATAACAGCGCCGGGTGTGCTGGTAGTCCAAGGAGGCCTCGGCGTTCTCGGAGCTGGACTCCGCCGGTAGTGCCGCCGGTGCTGTTGCGAGCGGCTCTGGGAAATCCAAAGTGTGCTGCTAGATACGCTGGTGCCGCAGCGCGTGGTGGCCGTGTCGCTGCCCTCACTTCACGTATACTCCAAGCAGTGCTGCTTGCGGCCGTCGCCAGGACGCCGAAGTATGTGCAGTCCGGGGAGGCCTCGTCGTTCTCGGAGGTGGACTCCACCAGAAATTGCCGCAGGTGCTGTTGCGAGTGGCGCTGCTGGTCCCTATCGCGCGGGTCAAACTGGTGCTGCTAGATACGCTGGTGCCGATGCGCGTGGCGGTCGTGCTGCTGCCCTCTCTCGGCGTCCTGCCAGCAGTGCTGCTTGCGGCCGTCGTCAGGACGCAGCTGTAGGTGTACATGTACTGGTAGTCTGGGGAGGCCTAAGGGTTCTCGGAGCTGAACTCCGCTATTGGTACCGCTGGTGCTGCTGCGCGCGGAGTTGCTGGTCCCAGTCGTGGGAACCAAAGTGGCGCTGCTGGATGCACTGGTGCTGCTGCCCGTGGCGGCCGTGCTGCTGCCCTCATTTGAGGTGGTGGTCAACGACGTGTTGCTCTGCTCAGCATCGTGCTGTTGGCACCCGAAGTGTTGTTCAATGTCGTGCTGTTGCAGCCCGCCGCACCGCACAATGTCGTGATGCTGGTAACCGTCGTACTCTGGACTCATGGATGCTGGTACCTGCCCCCTGGTCGTGTGCCAAGGCGGGGGGGCCTGTGCGTGTAATCAGTGGTGTCGACCTGCTGCGTGCGTGGTGTTGGCGGTGATGTTGACTTGTTGCACAAATGGTATCAATGAATTGCTGTTTCATCTGTTCCGTGTGTTTTGGTGTCGATGTGTTGCGTTGATGGAAGTGTTGGGACTTGTGGCCAGGATGCTATTCGAGTCGTCGGCAACGTAAAACTGACCCTGTGGACAGTCGTAGAGCGGGTCGCGCAGGCGGATGTACCAACCCTAGTGGTCGCCCTGTTGGACAAGCCTGTAGTGGTCGTTGAAATCGCGGTTACCCTCGTATTCGTCGTCGCAAGCGCCAGGATATCTGGGACAGGCAGCTGCACTCCCACGTGGTACTGACTGAACACGCCAGCGTGGCCCAGAGACGTCGTGGCCCGCGTACTGTTTAGCAGAAGCGGCCTGCCATTCCAACGGGACCCCGACGCATACCTCATGATGCATGTCAATACTTATGTGAGTACTCCGTCACGCTGGTCAACGTCAAATTGCAGAGACCCGTTGTGCTGTAAATGCTATCTCCTAGGGCCGGCTGCATCGGAACCACACCGCAGCCCACGTGAGAGGAGGACAGAGCAGGAGCAAACGAGGCCTCGAGGGTGCCAGAGAAGTGTGGCTGTTGTTCGTCGTTGCCGACGTGGCCCCAATCACGGTTGGTCCCAGTCGAAGTCCCAGTCGTGGTGTTTACAGAGGTGCTGCGGTTGGCACTGGTCCACCAGCAAAGGGTGCTGCTGGCACAGCAGAGAATGGGTCTCAACGAATCATGACCCGAGGCACGTGCGAGGACGAGGGGTGGCCAGGGAGTGCAATGAAGGATATGAAGAAACTACTAATAAGAAAAAGAAAACGACTAATAAAGATACGAAGAAGAAGCATAATAAACATACGAAGAAGGAGAAGAAGAAGAAGAAGAGGGGGCCACGAAATCTGGGAGATTGCGTGGCACTGGCCATGATGGTAGGGCTTTGGGCTGCGCACAGGCATCCCTCACCAGGTGACCCCGGCTGGCCTCAAGAGGCCAGCCAGGACTAACCCTTGGGAGGCTGCCTGCACGCGGCCCGAGGCCTCAACGGGCCAGGACGCCCACGCGGACACGCCCAGCCCTCACCCCCACGCATAGTGGCCTCCCAGATGGGGTCCGAATAGATGGGGTCGGAGGATCGCGCCGCATCGGCGATACATCGGCGATGCACGGGCGATGCATCGTCGACGTGGGCGATGCACCGGCGACATCGGCGTGGACAAAATCGGGCTCCACGTCGAGCCGCATCGTCGATGCATCGGCGATGCGGCGCGATCCACCGGCCCCACCTACTCCGACCCCATCTAGCAGGCCTGGAACACATCCGGCGGAACGTTTTTGTTTTCAGCACGCTGTCCCAGGAAAACCCGACCCCTTCCCCGGAGCCAGGCCTCCCTCCCGGGCCGATTCCTGCTGTCCCCGGCCCACTGACTGCCCCCAGGGGCCGAGATCGAGGAGACGCGCACGGATTGCAAAGATCAGAATCGTTTCGGCGGCGAGCCCGCGGGGAAGCGAGAAGGGGCGGCCCTCCCCAGGAGGCGCGCGGAAGTCCCCAAGCCTTCTGAGAAGTTCCCCCACCCTTCCCCGCAGGCACAGAAAACTCCTCAGAACGCGCGAGGGCTTCTGAGAAGCCCCGCCGCCTTCTGAGAAGGCCTTCTCCCTCTCAAACACCCCCGTTCCCTCGCCGCCGATCGTCGGAGATCTGGGATCTGGGCCCCTCTCTTGGACGCCCCCGACGGGATCCACGGCCAGGCATCCTCTCCAGCGCCCGAGCCGCTCGCCGCTTGCGCCGCCGAGGCCGCTGGACTGCTGGGCTCGCGCGCCGCGCGGAGGGCCGCCGCCTCCATGGCCGCCGAGACCGCCACGGCGCCGACCTCGCCGAGCGCCGCCTCCTCGGCAGTCAGGGGGACGTCGGCCTCGCCGTCCTCGGGCGCGCGGCCGAAGGAGGACCCTCCTCCTCCTCCTCCTCCTCCTCCTCCTCCTCCTCCTCCTCCTCCTCCTCCTCCTCCTCCTCCTCCTCCTCCTCCTCCTCCTCCTCCTCCTTCTCTCAGCAGCAGGGAGGAGCGACCCCAGCCTCAATGGCCGCCTGTCACCGCAGCGGGGCTGCACCGCAGCGTAAGACGGAGTAGCGAATGGCGACCGTCCCCTCGCACACGTTCGTGTGCAGCGGACGGGGATGGGAATAAAGATGGGGACAACGACGAGGATGGGGGTTGGTATGACGACGAGGGGCGGGGGAGTTGTTGAAGACATCGGCTGCGTCACAGCCCCGAACCACAGCCAGTAGCTGCGCCTCGGGTACGGATGCAGCGAGAATCCCAGCATGACGATTGCGCCAGAGCTACCTCATACACATGAACACGCGCGTGACCGCCCCCAGCTGCAAGATCCTTCTGCCCAGAGGCACTCGTCTGAGGATAAAGGTAACGATCAGATTCCCCTATCTCCTAAGGATGAGGTTATTGTAATTACTCCGACCGCGCCGATTCCTCACACAAACCACTCCTCCAGGCGAAAGAGAGATGATGATAATGATGGTGATAATGATGATGCTGATGATGATGATGATGATGATGATGATGGTGGTACTGATGATGATGATGATGATAATGATAATGATAATGATGATGATGATGATGATAATGATGATGATGATGATGATGGTGATGATGATCATGATGATCATGATGATGACGACGACGGTGCTGATGATGAGGATGGTGATGATGCTGATGATGTCGATCGTCATCATCAGTATGGTGATGGTGAAGATGATGTTGACGGTGACGATGATGTTGCTGATGATGATGAGGATGATGAGGATGGTGATGATGATGATGATCAAGCTGATGCTGATAGTGATGATGACGATGCGGATCGGATCATGCTGGTGATGGTAATGACGACGACGACGACGACGATGATGATGATGATGATGCTGATGGCGTTGCTGCTGCTGAAAAGATAATGGTGATGATGCTGAGAATGGTGCACATGCTGATCTTGATGATGACGGTGATGGCGATGATGACGAGTTTCATCATGATGATGACGACGATGCGGATGATGGTGATGGTGATGGTGAGGATGCTGATGGTGATGATGATGATATTGATGGTGTTGCTGACGGTGATGATGATGATGATGATGATGATGATGATGATGATGATGATGATGGTGATGGTGATGGTGATGGTGATGGTGGTGATGCTGATGCCGATGCCGATGCTGATGTTGATGCTGATGCTGATGACGATGGTGACGACGATAACTCTGATGAGGATCACGATTACGATAATGGTGATGACGAGGGTATTTTTTTTTTGGAGGAGCAGGAGATGGGAGCGGACAGCGATAGTATACACAACGCATGGTCGTCGCAAGGCTGTCCTGCGAACGTGGCCGAAATTCCGGCCGGGGAAGAAGAAGCTACCTGTGACAATGATTGCCCGGGCGAGCGTGCACCCTCGTTACAATCCGTTGCAGGAGCAGCTCCGCCACAGGAGGGGCAAACATATACACTGAAAGGCAAGCGGGAGCAGGGGAGAGAGAGGACGAAGGAGGAGGGAGGACAACGAGCAGGGAAAGAGGAAGACAGCACAAACGGAACCAACACTCAGCGCAGGTCTCCGCCACTGCTTAGGAGCACGGCCTCTGGCAAAATCGCGCGAACGCGGAGCGATACGAAATACCCCAACATCGTATCGGTGAGACCGGGTGGAGAACAGGGGGCAGGAGGAGGCAGCGAAGGAGAGGGGGGATGGCAGAGACAAAACTCATGGTCCTTGCGCGTCAGAGGCCACAAAACGCACTGTGGCAGCGCGCGCCAGGAAGCCTCACCCACAAGACAGCGGGGAGGGGGAAAGCACCAGGTGCCCTGTGAGAACGATATACGATATAAAAGTGAAACTCGCCAACACGCATAGGAGGAGGGGAGGAAAGAAGAGGAGGAGAGCCAACGAGCACGACCAGAGCCCCACTAGGAGCAGCGCGGCAACTGCCGAAGCCAGCGGGCTACGCCTGGTGCCGGCGCTTGTGCACCGAGCTCAGGAGCGCCATCGCGGGAGCGTGGCCCCGTGCGCCCTCGCGCAGAAAACCGCGGACGAGCTCGGCGGCAGGCCCCGCCGTGGGAGTTAATCTCAAACAGTTGTGCGTGCGGTACAACGCGTAAACACTCAAGGCGCGGAGGGAGGAGGCCCGGGCGCCGCCCTCAGGAGGTGCGTCGATAAGTATGCGTCGCGTTGCAGGGCGGAGGGAGAGAAATACGTCCAGCTCGAGGTCGTGCGGTGGCCGCTGATGATGACGATGATGATGATGATGATGATAATGATGATGATGATGATGATGATGATGATGATGATGATGATGATGATGATGATGATGATGTCGACCACGACGACGACGACGACGACGGCGAGGATGATGATGATGATGATGATTATGATGATGATGATGATGATGATGATGATGATTATGATGATGATGCTGATGATGATGATGCTGATGCTGATGATGATGATGATGATGATGATGATGACAACGGAGCACGTTTTGAGGATGTCTCGGGCGAGGCGCTGGTTTCAACGCACCCAAGGGTGGGGCGCCAGGGAGTATCTCACTCCTCCGTTCGCGCCCAGATAGGTTTTTCTCCTCGATGAAGACGCAGCAACCTAGCCCCCCCCCAGGTTGGCTCAGAATGCGAAGATGTCTCGGGCGGTTTGCCTGTTTGGGTGGCCGAGCTCGTCAGCGTCCAGAACAGATTTGAGGATGTACGCACCCGAGGGGGGGGGGGGCGCCAGGGAGCACCTCACTCCTCACTTAGCGCCCAGATTGCGGAGATGTCTCGAACGGTTTGCCTGTTCACCAACACAACTGATTTGGAAGACGTCTCGGGCGAGGCGCTGGTTTTCGCACCCTAGGGGCCTCAGATTGCGAACAAGTCTTAAACAGTTTGCCAGTTTTAGTTGCCAGGCTTGTCTGCGTTCAGGTCGAATCCTTTGTGTTGCACGTACGTCTTTCTAGATTGCCCCTTCCATGTGGCTCCAATCCTACGTGTGATACATCTGTTCCTGGAGATGGGGCCTCCCCTGGTGCGCGAACCCGTTGTGCTTTACTCATCTCCCTATAGATCGCCCCTCGCTGGCGGCTCCCATCCTATGTGATTTAAGTGTGCTCCTGTATCGAGGGCCTCTCCCGGGGCGCGAACCCTCACCAGGAGGCCCCAGGAGGCCACCGGAGGCCCCCAGGAAGCACGGGGGGGCACCAGGAGTCCCCAGGAGGCCCCAGGAGGCCCCAGGAGGCCCCAAGTGGTTCCAGGAGGACCCAGAACGCTCCATGACGTCCCAGGAGGCCCCAGGAGGCACCAGGAGGCTCCAAGAGGCTCCAGGAAGCCCCAAGAGGCCCCAGGAGTGGCTCCAATCCGATGTATTTTACGTCTGTTCCTATAGGTTGGGCTTTTCCTGGGGCACGAATCCAAAGTGTTTACGGATATTCCTACAGACTGCCCTTCTCCTGTGCCAACCCGACTTGCTTCACATATGTTCTTATCGGGTGGACATCTCCTGGGGCACGAACCCTCGGCGTTGTATGGATGTTCCTATATACTGCCCTCTCTTTTGGCTCCAGTCTCCTTTGCTTTACATATGGTCCTATGGCTTGTGCCTCCCCTACGGCACGACTCCTTGGTGGTTTACGTATGCTCCTATCGATTGCCCATATCCTGCGGCTCCAATCCTGAATGTTTTACGTATGTTCTTATAGATCGAGCCTCTCCTCTCCGTGGCGTGGCTGGCTGTATCAAGGTCCAGCCACTGCGTGATATCTTCTGGGCCAGCCAACGAAGCGCAATGGTTTTGCACGGAGATTGTGTGAGCACCCTACTCCAGATTTCGTAATAAAGGGAGGGGGGTCTCATTTCGGGGGGGGTCTCCTCCAGGCTATCTTGGAGGGCCTGGGGTGGTCTGGGGACGATGTTTTGGAGGGTTCTCTCACGAGGGGGGGTCTGAAATGGCTTGTCTTGGAGGGTCCAGACCCCCTCCCTTTTATTACGAAATCTGGAGTATATTCCTTGCTTCATCATGAAAGCAGGGATCGCGTAACCATTTCGTCTCCGTCACGCCCGGTCACGCTCGGGCCACTGACGTGCAGGTACACCCGTCCTAGGCTTAGACGTACGCAGGCCGCTGCGCATAGACTCACTCGTACAACTAAGACCCTTTCACACTCCAACTCATTCACAAGCAGATTCATTCCCAGTCTGTCAATACTCAAGCCCGTTTGTATTCGAAAACTCGTGCGACTAGACACTCACGGCGGACAGGTCCACGCAAATAGATGCACAGATGGGGAGCTCCACGCAGTGATCTTTTTTTTCTGGCGACCCCCTCCTATGTTCTTTCAGTTTGCGCACCTAGCGATCCGAATGGCAGCGTGCCGCCTCGAGTGGGGGCGGAGCCTCGCAGGCAACGCATGCTCCGCAGGGGGCAGGGCTGCCAGGCCGCACACAGGTGTGCGAGTGCAAGGGAGCATCAAAGCAGCTTGCAGGTCTGAACGGCGCGAGGATGAGGGGGACGACCAGGTTGAGGACGAGGATGACGACGAAGAAAAATAAGAATAAGAAGAAGAAGAAGAAGAAGAAAGAAAAGGCTCGGCCTTGCGCGTGGTCTGTGCCGTGCTCTGCTCGCGCCGAGCGCATGCTCCTACATGTTGTGCGCAAAACGCCTGCGTGCGACGAGGCCGAGAGGGATGATGGAGAGGACCAGGAGGACGGCGAGAAACAAGGACAGAGAGGTTTGGGAGACCAAAGGGAACCAATACCACAACTCCCCAGACTTCTCCACGGGCGCGTCCTGACCAAGATTCCGAGGCGCATCCAGCCGTGGCGAAGAGGGAAGGGCAGCAGAGCCGGTATGCGTTCCTCTTCTGCGAGGCCCGCCTCGCGCCGTCCTCGGGCGCGCCGCCGAGGCGGGCCGTCTCCCAGGCGAGCCGCACCACGGCCAGGCGGCGCTCCAGCCGCACGCCGTGGGGGCCCAGGCGCGCCGCGAAGGCCTCCAGGGCGCCGAGCGCCGCGAGGCGCAGGGCCGCCTCGTCCATGGCGCGCGGCGCGCGCACTGGCAGGCGCGCGGGCGCGCCGGCGCGCGGGCGCGCGGCGGGGCTCGCGCCGAGCCCGGGCCTGAGCCGAAGCGACGGCGGAAGGAGGCAGCCAGCCTGGGCCCGATCCCCGTCCCTGAGATTGACACGCCGAGAGGCGATGCCAGTCCGAGCGATGCGCGCACGCAGGAAGTCAGGGGGTCCTTCAGATCGTTATCGAGAGAAGGCGACACCGACCATAGGGGTAATAGTATGTTTAGGCAGAGGAGGACGGCATGCAGAAGCGAAGGGCGGCAGGGAGAAAGAGCGGAGGGGGAGCAAGAACAACAGCAACAGACACCCCGCCAAGGAGCGCCCACATCGGCAACGGCTGGGGTATCGAAGAGAGGCGCGCCAGATGCACGCGCGCGCAACGCGCACGCACATCCACACGGTCATCTGGGAGGAAGGTGCCCAGCAGCTAAAGGATCTCGCATATCCGTGCGAAAGGGTGAGGTCCATCAACGAGAGGTCCGAACGATCAGAGAGGACCACGGGAACGCGACGCCATGGGTCTGATGCTCCAACACAGGTGCTGATTTGGTAGGCTAAGCTAGGGACAGTACTGGTGGTACGAGACGCGTGATGGGTGCGACGAATGGGTCTGGTATCCTCTCACACGGGCAACGCTTCGAAAAGTTATTCTACGAGGACACGAACCGCGTGATAATAGGTCTAGTACCCCTTCGAGGATGCTGGTTGGAGAGTATGTTACCACATGTCTGGGCTCACATTGAGAGCCAGAATGCGTGAGGGTGCGCTGAGAGGGCTAGAAGGAAGGAGAATAGGAAGGTACTGAAGAGCATGGGAGGCCTAACACACACACACACAGGCGCACCTAAAGCGGACCACGATAAAAGAACATATGACCGCGAAGTTCCGCTCATGGCGGCATGCACAGGTCGTTCTATCCCAGGTTGTGGCTAGACTGGACAAGTCCCAAAACACTTGCCCTCAACGCCACAATGAGGAAGCAATCACGGGTCAAACTGTCACGGGTCGCACTGACCGCGCGCTATGCCAAGAAGCTCTGTTCGAGACGCGTGCGCCAGCCTGGCGCTCCCAAGTGACAGACGGGCGGGCCCAAACAAGTATGCAGGGCAACCGGGCGCGGGAAGCATACGAGGAATTGCCCACAATTAGATGAGGCCCCTGCACACGTACACACATATACACACAAAAACTCTCTCATAGATACACACACACACACCACTGACGCTGCAATCCACCACCCCGTCCCAAGTACCCTGTCCATGTATCAACGCGGGTACCAATCAGAACTGAAGCGCGCAAGCTGGAAAAGGACAGGCCCAGGGACTTGCATAGTGATAGCAATGTGGTTGGAAGCGCGCATCAACGATGATGAATATCCGACCGCGCAAAGTGGCACACCGTACAGACATGTCAAGATTAGTGGCATGCGACGCGGGGAAGTCCCAAGCCATGGCAGGCAGCTGAACAACTGGCCGCCCTGCATCCGTGAAGCTGTCGCAACCAGTTGAAACATGTCTCGCGCGGCCTTGATCCGAGAGCCAGCGTCTATGCCTGGCACGTGGCGCTGAGACGAGAATCAAGTCTTGAACGCCACCCGCCTACCCTCCGTGCGTACGTAAAAACACTGCAGCGGGGCAGAGATCCGCAAATATCCGCCACGGTGCCTCTGGCACGAGAGGGAGTGCCCCAAGCCTCAAGCAGCCCTGAGAGGTCGAGGGCTTGTAAATCCCACCAGCCCTCTGGGCGTAGGTGGCTTAGCGTGTTTTCTCTTCCATGTTCCCATATTCTCCTTCGGGGCGGCGTTTCTCACTGTTCCCTGTGAATAAACACCCCATCCCCCAGGACCCAGGCGACTGGCAGCCAACCAGGACCAATGAGACCCCCCACACGATCATGGTAAAAAACAATGTGAAGTACATTTTGGGGCAAAATCTTGGGTCATGATCGGGAGGGGCGCGAGCATTTCGTTTTTTGGTTGACAGGGGCGGCGGGGGTGCCCGCATATTGCCGGCTGCGCGCATGGCCAGCATCCCTGACAAACACAAATATAAAATGCACTTCGAGGCAAAATCTGGATCATGCGTGGGCGGCCCGCGATCACTGTGCAGTGGTTTTTGACTGGGACGGCGGGGGTGCTGGCATACTGCCTGGTATGTGCAGGCCAACTAGACGCTATGATGGACACTCGGCCGCGATTGCGCACTGGATTTCGACAAAGGTGGTGGGGGCCGACACGTTTCCCCATGTGTACTGCCACGTGCGCATGCGCACCTGGCACACTCTGCGCGTGCCCCGAACGTTGCGCACATGGCGCGGCTGGAACATGCGGCACACATGGCGCACGTGGATCACGTGGCGCATCTGGCTCACCAGGCGTCCCGGCACGCTTTGGAAACAAGAGTGCCTGGCGCACCTGGCGCGCATGGCGCGCCTGGCACGCATGACACACCTCGCCCCCGCGTTGCGCACATGGGGTCTGGCTCGGTTCCCAATAGCTGCCCATCCAAAGACTATCGCTGAACACGCTGCGGCTCGGTTGCTACCTTTGCGTTGGGAGGGCGGGTGGGAGTGAGCGAGACACCCTGCGGGCGGGGAGGGTGCCTTGATCACTGTTCCCTACTAATAAACACCCCCTCCCCCAGGCGACTGGGGGCCAACCCGAGTCCATGCCAACACCCCCCCCAACACACTTTGCCTCCAAATTCGGAACATGCGCAGCCAACCCGAGGCGGCCCCCCCCCACCATCCCTGTCAAAAAACAATACAGAATACACTTGGCGGCGGCGGCGGCTGCGGCGGCTGCGGCGGCGGCGGCGGCTGCGGCGGCTGCGGCGGCGGCGGCGGCGGCGGCGGCGGCGGCGGCGTCGGCGGCGGCGGCGGTGGCGGCAGCGGCTGCGGCTGCGGCGGCGGTTAGGCAGCGGGGGGCGGCGGCGGCGGCGGCGGCGGCAGGCGGCAGGCGGCAGCGGCGGCGGCGGCGGCGGCGGCGGCCGCGGCGGGCGGCGGCGGCGCGGCGGGAGCGGCGGCGGCGGGCAGCGGCGGCGGCGGCGGCGGCGGCGGCGGCGGCGGCGGCGGCGGATTGGCCCCCAGTAGCTGCCCATCCAAAGACGACTGCTGAATATGCTGAGGCTCGGGCCAGACTCGGGTGCTACGTATGTGTTGGGAGGGCGGGTGGGAGTGAGCGAGACGGCTTGCGGGCGGGGAGGGGGTAACTTGACCCCTCCCCCTACCCCCTTCCCCAGGACCTAGACGGGGCGCCCCGCGACCGGGTGGAACGTCCAAGATGGCCCAAGATGGCTCCAAGAGGGCCTCAGAGAGCCCAAGATGGCCTCCAAGAAGGCTCAAGATAGCTCAAGATGGCTCAAGATAGCCTCCACCGTGATCCAAGAGCCTCCAATACCGCCCCAACACGACTCCAAGTAGCCTCGGAGCACCCCCAACAGAGCACCCAAGAGGCCAACATCCTCCCAACACCTATGTAAAATCCATGTGTTTGGCTTTCTCGCCTTTTCGTTTTTGATGGCTCTCCGAGGCGTCAAGATGGATCCAAGATGGCCCGAGAGGGCCCGAAGACGGCCCAAAGGCGAGCTAGAGGCCAACAAGAGGCCCAAAAACTGCCCCCCCCACCAGAGGCCGCCGAGAGGGCTCCGAAGAGACCCCTAGAAGCATCCCTGAGGACTCTGACGCGCAACCCAGGCACGGTGGCGGGGTGGCCCGAAGGTCATTCGATAAGCGGCGCCTGAACAAAAGAACAGATCTTGAAGACAACCCGCATTCCAATTGCGCGCTGTTGACATTTTCGGGGTGAGCGTGCGTACCGCTAACGCAATATGGCATCGAACAAGGGATGACAATCGATGACATAACCTGTCAGGCAAGGCAACACACTACGCTAGTGCACCGCTAACGCAATATAGTCGAGTCTTGAAAATGGCACGCCCTCCAACCGCATGAACTGTGAAAAGCTCTAGGATCAAAGATCGTGGCGAGTTCTCGGGCAAAACGCGCACTTCGTCCAACAGGTACGTCTAGACCGTGTGCAACGCGCACGAGTCCTTCGCAGTGAACATGGACAGAGAGGGAGGAAGCGACGAGGTGAGGAGGCGGAGTGAGGGAGACGGGTCAAGAGAGGGGGGAGGCGGGGTCGGACACAGTCGAACTGGGCACGA